TGGATGATTCTTTTGTCCATAAGTGTGGTTAGATTTGTTGAAGAGTGCAGCTCTTTATGCACTTCTCAAAAGAACAGAGCATTTCCCAGGTAAGGGAAAGGTCACCTTCTTCATGCTGCAACTGTAAATAACCAGTGTGGAGTCCACTAATTCATAACTAGGTCATCTCTGATAGAACTGATAAGTCTACTCTGTTATCAGTGCATAAATCAGAGCTGCTCTTATTAAGCTATGAATGCAAAACCTCTCCAGAAAGCCCACTTAAAATTGAGGCAGATGCTGACATATTTGTGCTTTTTCTCAGAGCTGAAAAGAATAACAATTTGCAAATATATACACTTCTAATTAAGAAAGCATGTTTGTGTCAGGAGTTGGTGTTGTTGACGTTTTTAATTTCCTTGGTTTTGCTTTTCACATTTAAATGACCAAGTTTAAGGTGGCTTGTTGATGTTTTACATATACATATACAATATATACAGCCAGATATTTCATCCCAGATATTCTCTCCTGGCTTTTTTGAGTCATAGTACACAGTAGAATCATGACTCCATGAAGCAGTGCAGCACTGTGATAGAAATCCCCAGGCTGCCTCCAAGCAGTCAGCAGTGTCAGTGTGGCACAGTGTGACGTCATGAAACAAGGCTAGTGCAGGTCCCCAAAGCCGTGCACTTGCATTACCTATTCCACACCCTGAAGGAGCCCTGCTGGCACCAGCGTGGGAGCCTTGGCACCACTCTCCACTGCTTGCTGTGGTTATCACTCCATAGTTCATGGAGTTCAGGCTGGGGAACTACTGGTATCACACAGAAGTGATACCAGCTGAAGGCATAGACTGAAGTACGGCTATAATGATTTAATATTAGATTTTAATCCTCGGTGAACTGGATTCATGGAGTTACGTACATGACTCTGTGAATAATGATAAAGCTGGTTGCCACATGAATGTATTGCAGCACTGACTAAATATAGAAAGACAATTAAAGTTCTATCTATGGTTTCTGTTAGGATCTGCTTAGAGATTAATTTTATCCTGAAGATACTCGCTCCACAAAAATACGTTTTAAAGAAAAAGAATCTGAACATGCAATTTGTTTACATGCTTTGCATTCCTAAAAGGATGTAAAATTCACTGAATGGTGCTTCTATTGTGTGTAACTGTGTAGACATATGAAGGGAAAGCAGCTGAAAAAAAAAGATGGAAAAATTTCAGCCGTATATTAAAATGTTCATGTACTGGCCCAATATGATTAAAGCAAGACACAAAATTACTTTTTTTTTTAATAAACTAGGTGTTATTCTCATTCTCCAAGTTTCTCCAGGAAATAAAAACCTTAACTTTTGAAATCTGCAGTGTAAGGAAAGAAATCAGGGTATAACCCACTCCTTCATTTTGTAGCACAAAATATCCACCCCTCCTTTGGTGCACCAGCACTGCAGCTATAAAGGAAAGCAGCCATACAGTACACTTGGCATCGCCCACAAGAAATAAGTCCTAGCAAATAAGACCATTTTGCAGTAGGGTCTTAATTAGTTTTTTGAAGCCAGAAGAGTTGTTCTGCAAACCTCTTTTCGCTCCATCTCTTGTCTGAGGTTGAGAGGAGTAGCATAGAGTTTGAGTAGAGAGAATCCGCTCAATAGCCTGGATTTAATTTCAGGCTCAGTGATGGGGCCTTCATATGCCTTTTGCATATGAGTGTAGCATTTACCAGTAACTTCAACATTAGCAAGACCTGAAAACCCCCTGCAGTTTGTGCCTTTTGGTGAAAGTTAATGTCATGTTCTTACTCGTATCCTGTGACCAGGCTCTTTCTACTACTTTACAGAAGTGGTACAAAGGATGAACAGACACAACAAATATTTCATTTTGGTGCTACATTTATTCATTTCCAGGTCCATGGAGAGAATTTAGTTGAGAGTCAGATTTAATTACCTCTTACAGTGAACACCATATCCAGACTTTAACACATTTACTATTCCTGGTAGAGAGCTGAGGGTCTCATTGAAAGCACTGTTTTGGAAAAGGATATTTTCTACAGTCCCAGGAGCTCCAAGGTAATCCTTAGAATTTTGATCAGTTAATTTTGTTTCTACTTTGGAGGCCAACAGACTGAATTCATGTCAGGCAGTGGGGAAGGGAAATATCCAACTGGGAAGTGAAATGAAGGGCACTGTGAGCACAAGAAGGTAAAGCAGGATAAAAAGAATTGGAGAGAAAGGAAAGAGGGAAAAAGGTTAGATGTCATTTTCTGCTTCCCCTCTCCTCCGTTTGATCCCAGGAGTCCTTCAGTGCTGCCTCACAGAGAACCACTGTAACACCTGAGCCAGGAGGCAAAGGATGACCCTGACCAGAAATGTTTCAAGTGCAAAGTTGGTAGACACAAAACTTGAAAGGGAATTAATACCACTTATACCTAGAATATTACTAGGGCCAGAGAAGTGGAGGCTTCACTGCTTCACTAAACTGTGCCCCAGGGATAGATGGAGAATTTGGCGCTCATCCTGTCTTCTGCCCTTTCCCAGACTTGCTCTGGTTGCTCTGCTCACAGTGCTTCACAATTTCTCTGTGTCACCGGGTCACTTGGTAAAACACTCACAACACATATGGGGAACTGTGCTGCTTTGCAAGTGAGCTTTAATCTGTACAAGTGATAGCAGTGAGAGGAAGGGAGGCTAAATGACTGAGTCATGGACTTCATAAAGGAAGATTTTTCTGCAGCAGTATTCTACCAGGTGACATGGCTACAGTACTTTCTCAGGGGCTGGCCTCAACTTCAGCATCAACTTCAGCATCATTCCTCTTCAGGAAAGGTCAACCTGATCTGACTAACATCAGCTAATGCACCCCTCTCAGCTAATTTCTTCATCGCTTATTTTTCCTGGAACCATAACATATGTAGAGGGAGCTTGATTTACAGGTGGTGTCCTAAGAAAAGACAGTGACAGAAAATCTATTCCTCTGGTAAAGTTGTGGCTATAAAGTATCTTAGTCTATGTTCTGTTATCCCAAGATATGCCAGCAAGAGCAGGGAGGTGGTGACTTGGATGAGACTGAACATTTAGAGTGGGTATAGAGCATGACGTAGGAAAGCTGTGGCCTCATTAAAAAAAGATGTTGGAAAAAGAGCTACAAGAATGCTTGTCCTTTAGGCAAATCATATTGTGGGAGATTAGAGAGGCCTCAGTCTCTTGATTTGTCCAAAATAAGGTAAAAATAATTGATAACAAACTGCAGACTTCTCTTTTATTCATCAGGAAAAAGTCACTGGTAATCCTTGTGTTTTTGAAGCTGGATACATTCAATGAGAAACTGCATGACTTTTTACTTTTGAAATGAGAAAATAATTGTGCACGCAAAATTATTCTTTCAATATTCACAATTATTTGCATTATTCTCATGAAATGCTTCATAAAAGCCTGTCTAGCATTCCTGTCTCCATTCTACTAGCCAAGGTGACATGGGTAAAGGTGATCTTGCCTTGGGGTAAGAGAAGGCACAAAATCACCTTGCTTCACATTTTATTTTCTGTTTCCTTTTTCTATTAATTGTTGGTTTGGAGAAATATAGTCTCATATTTTTAGAAAGCAAATCTCTATGAAGCCAATTCAAGGTGGGAATGTCTGACCATCCATGTTTTCCAATGTATATTTTGGCTCCCATCAGTGCACTCTTACTCAGTTGCACGTCTTCTAGATATTCTCGGGGGTCTGCTAAAATGTTTCACTCTAATGTCGTGATCATAGGGCAGCTAAACTCTGCTTTTATGTGTGGGTTGGTCAGAGTCATGTAGTGCCATCTCTGTAAAGTGAACTCAGACTTATTGTTGCACCTTGGTCTGCTGACCCTTTCATTTTGATCTTCTATTTTATACTTAGCGTAACTACTGAAGTGAATATAGAACTTCAGCATGAAAAATGGTTTAAGCGCAGAAATTTTTTCACTTAGAATTTAAAAATGCGGGCTCTTGTATCTGTCTCCTGAGGGAGGTGGAAAAAAAGAGAGTGAGAGAAAAAGAAAAAAGGAAAACAAAATAAAAGTATGCTTCGCAAATGCAGTGCCGTTGACTAAATCCATTGGCCTGTCAATGTTGTTAGCTGGAATGCAGGGGATTGGAAAGTAGATGGAAAACAAGCAGTGTATGTTTGTATGAGGCCACTATGGATTATAAGCAAAGAGCAATATATCATTTTGAGGAATGAAAAATGTTTAGGAATTGGAAGTTTTTTGTCATCCAACATGTCTGCCATCATCTATCCAATGCATGGTACGTAACATGTGGAGTCAGTGATGGGCATCGTGTTTCTGCTGTTTCCACTGACATTTTCATACATACCAAAAGTCACTTTATTTTTCTTCTTTGGAACTAAAAGAGGACTTTCAGAGCACTTTAAAATTCCTTTTAAGAGCTGCAGAGAGCTAGCAAGATGCAGAGGGTTTATATTTTCAGTTTTTGTGACTGTCATGCTGAAACAGACCTGCGTTTGGCTAGCTTTGACTTTCCTTTTCAACATGCAGCTCTATGCAAGCTAACCAGAGTCTGTATGCAGTCAGCTTGGCTGAACTGTCTGCATTCTGGGTTGGATTCTTATTAATTGTATGTACAGCTACCTTTAAAGCATTTATAGCATCAAGAAATAACTCTGAAAGTTATTTTTTGAGTTCCTAGAGAAGAAACCAACGTAGTTACCTGTTACGCTCCACCAAATTTCCCATTCACAGCCCTGTCATGAACCTTCCTTCCTCTTTTTTTTTGTGTCACCTGCTTTCTGCTATAATGATGGACTGACTTTCTCTTGACATATCTTTTATCTGACTGATTGTCTGTGAATCCTTACTTTTTTCACCACCAATTCCATCTGTCATATTACTTTGGCTCCTATAGGGGTTGAAAGCAAGCATACAACCTGGAAAATGAATCCAGACATCCCATAACTTATCCAGTACAATATTTACACATGAATCTGAAGTCTGTTTGTTACAAATTTATGTCAACAGCAGCAAAGTTGGAAAAATCAAAATTTAAGAGATGGAGTTATTCTGTTCTTGGATGTCATATACAAATTTTCTGCAAAGACCTAGTGAGTCAGGAAGATGCTTATAGTTTCTATTCCTGGAAACTTGTACCTCTGGGCTGGAGTGCTGCACCTGGATAAGGTTACAACTTTTCAGCATTCCAAAACCTTCTTTTTATCCTCTTCTCTTTTGCTGGTGTTTTAAATTGCTAGCATCTCAAAGGTGCTCATCTCCAGCTTCACTTGTCCTGGAAATTCAATTCAAAAGATGATTCTACTGAAGAGCCGATGGAAGAGGAAGCCAGTAATGCATCTCAGTGATCTATGGATGTTTGAGCTGCTCAAGAATATTCAACCATAAGTCCTATCTGAATTAACAGATAACGCCTAATTAAAAGGACTCTGGTGATAGGGCCTGTGCCCTATCAGAGAGGCAGAAGGTCTCAGGGATATTTTAGGAAGATAAGAATTAGATTAACCAGGAAGAGAAAATAAAGTATGGATAAAATAACTAGATAGATAATGTAAGATGGGCTATTAGTATACAAATAATTGATGAAATGTTTATACTATTTTCTGTAAAGTACACTATGGGGAACGGAGTAAGAAAGAGAATTAATTAGTTCAGTAACTCAGAAGTTGTGCTGGGGCTGTTCATGTGGTGAGCCCATGATAAGAACCAGGAAAATTCTTTAGTCACCACTGCAGGAAAGTGAGGACTTCACTAAAAGGAAGTCCAGTGACACTCAGTCTCTGGGATACTTTAAGAGCTGGTATGATTTTCATGCAAAAGAAAGTAGAAAGCACAGGTCAAAGTGTAACACTTGTTCTATAGACTTGTGGAAGGCAGTCTGGCACTAGCTCCTGCATCTCTCCTAGGGTTGTCCCACACTCTTCTGGCCAAGATACTCATGGGGAAAGCATTGCCTGTGCGGTATGTCTCTTGGTAATTTATAGCAAATACATTATTTTTTTGTGATTCTCTGTATTATGCAAGCAATGCCTTATCTTGCCATCAAGATAGAATTGCTTTCTATTCTTGGAAGTACAAGGCTGCTATAGGGACTGTTTTAAAGTGTTGCCTTACTCTGAGACCTGACTGGGCCAGATATATCTCCCTTCCACTGCAGGTTAGTTATCCTCCTAGTTCATTCACTTTGTTGGCAACTCCAGCTGGTTGCCCTAAGCCACGAGGGAAGCACCTGTTCTATTTTATTGTGTTATTAAGCATATTTCTGCAACTGTTCTCATATTAAGTTTGTTCCACTGTGACCTCCTTGAAAGGCTAAGTGCAACTCAGTGCAAGTGAGGGTTGCAGAATAGTCTTCAAAGACTCTTTAATGTTATATTTTTATCTCTGTCCTAAGATTAGCTAGTCATATCTATAAAGCTGTGATTTCTGTCTTTGATAAACAAGGTTCCTTAAGATTCTCAAACAGCTTAATAACATCTACAACAGAAACTCCTATTTATGGTGCTAATCAAAACCCTTTGGGGTCCCTACAGACCAAATACCTAAGCCTCTGTCTCTATATACTTCCTAGCAAGTCTATTTATTCACAGCCAGGGTCTCAAAGGCATCTTATAGACATATTCTTTATGAAGTTATTTTTACTTTGTTGTATTTTGTTAGAGCTCATAAGAAGATCTACCAGTAAAAAAGTTGCTCTAGCTCACCTCACATAAACATAGTGATCTCTTAATTCTAACGATACCCTACCAGACTTTTAAATATTCCATTATTTATTTACTATTGATTAGATGATGGATTTTTTAAACTAAATTATCTCTTCTTACGGTTTCCATTATACCAGTTTCCTGTTGATGATGACTTAAAATTGTGCATGATATGAGGCGGAATAATGAGCCTGCCGAACAAAAAATAAGGTCAGATTTCTTCTACATAATAATATCATAGCAAAGGTAAGATGTTATATATCCTTCTTTGCTACTCTTTAAAATTAAGGTATGCATTTCCTGGAGATATATTGATAGTTTTCAGAGATAATTTCAAAGGTAGCATTCCAATAGCAACAACAAAATATAGTTAGTATCAACAGAGTCCAAAAATCCAAATTCTTCAAGCTGTGGTGAAATGTTCAAAGCCTTTTTGATTGCTGAATTATCTGCTTGAGATGTGGCTAGCAAGTTACTGCTTCTTCTCCTGACAGTCAGATGGCATAATCAGAACCTACATGACATATTTGTCTGTCTTTTAACATTTTATCACGTTGCTCTGTTCTTTCATCTAGAAACTAGTACTTGTCCTTCTATGCAAATGTATCTATCTATTCATTAGTCTGTCAGAATGTCTATAAATATTAGATTGTTTTGAGGAGGCAGTGCCTAATTTGTCAAATGAAAATATTTTTCTCCTACTTTCTAGCACATGAACTGTGATGGATGCAGTTGTGTTCTGAGATGCATTAAAACCCACAAGTTATTTAGCTATTTTATCTGGTGGGTGCCTTGAAAGTGTGTCACACAAATTACCCAGCTGGAGAGAATTGAAACCACAGTGAAAATTCAGTTATTATCTTCAAAAACATATGGACAGGAAAAAAAAATATTGACTTCATACAGCAGTTGAGACCCATCTTTTTAATGACTTTTTCAGTCATGCGTGCACATGAGCTCAGTCGATGTATGAAGTACCCTGAATGATATTTCTATCCTTACATTTCATTGAAGATCTATTTTCTTTCTTGCCCTTATTGAAACCTCTCAGACTATCTGTTTACAAAATGTCTCAAAATATCCTCTGGCAGCCAAGTGAAAGTAGTAAAGTGGTTTTGTTTCTTTTACCTCTTTTCCAAAGTGGAACCATTCTGAAATCCATCAAGCAGCATAATAGCAACACGTCGTGCATACCCTGAAATAGAAGAGGTGTAAAACGATGTTGGTAACAAGAGTTATTATTAAAAGTGTCTGTCTTTTGTCAGATAGCTTTGGAAGAAGAGACAGCCATTGCAAGAAATGATATCCACACCGATAACCACATGTCCATTTGTGCTCACACATGCACTTTTCAAAACACTACAGTGTACACTGACAGTCTGCAGAGGATCAGCTTCAAAAATTTCCTTTGAGTCATTTCTTAGCCTCCAGCAGTGTCTGGGAAAGGTGTTTCTGATCAAACTGAAATGTAAAACTGCAATACTATAAATAGTAGGAAGTTGTACTTGATGGAGAATATCCTTCTCCAATACTACCTCAAATTCTTCTTGAAGTGAATAAAATCAGTGAAATGGAAGAATTTCTTTTGTATTTTGTGTTAAATAATGTTGATAATTGCTTACTGTAATAATTTCTGCCTCAGCTAAGTATTGGTAGTGTCCTAAAAGGAAAATTTATTTTCATACTACATTAGACTTTTGTGGGTTTTTTTAGTAATATTTCTACTCTGGTCTGTAGTGAGTCACGCGTTTGCATATAACCTTTGTTGATTTCACTGAAAACAGTACCTTGGGTGACAAGTACTCAAAGTACTCCATCCTTCAAAGGGAAAATACCCAACCTGTCTTTCCTTTCTACATAGATTTCCTTGTTTGTATGTTTCCAGTACTGTACCTCAATCTGAGTATCAGTTTTTCAGCTCATCCTTGCCCCAGTCCCTTCAAGCTCTACTGCAGCAACAGAAAAGTAGGAACAAGGAATCTGTGTGCAGTTTGAGGGAGTGTGATGCCTGGATACTCTGGACATCCTAGGGCTGCATTTTCAAAGTAACTTGAATGATAACCACTGCCAGCTTGTCCTCTTGAAGAACAGTTAAGGAGCAGTCACAGAATCCCATATTCCACTGGTATTTGAATTTTCTATTTCTAAGCATAGAATTCAGCTGCCTGCTCACAGGTCTCAGACATCTTTGGGCACCTGCCTGGGGTCAGAGTGGCATCTTGAGGGTTGGTACCATTCCTCTGTGTGTCTAAGATGGTACTAAGCACTTGGGTCCTACCAACAGCGTCAAGAGTTATTTATGTCTCAGATATAGTTTTAATCCTAGACCTGAGATTTTCAGGGCCTGGTTGAGGCCATAGTTCAATTTTCCTTTCTTTGCATTAAGTCAGACAATGAATTCTATCCTAGAATATCAAGGATTTGCGGTAGCATCTATCTATCATATATATTATTATTCCAGGCTGTTTTCCTATTGCAAGGCTTCAAAATACGGGAGATGAAGAATTCTGAAATTCATTGTATTCTTTTCTGCCAAGAAAAGGCAGTACATTAAGATGGCTGTATTATTGCAGAATTAGGGAGAATAAAGCTACTTTAGAGAGGAGAATTGGTACATTCACTAAAGTGCTTACTAAATACCTTCATACTTCTATTTTGAATACTAGCCTTGGTAGGATGGAGATATCTGCTTTCTTCCTGACAGAGGCACTGACAATGATTCTAGACCACGTGAGGTTGCATCTCTGGAGGAAAGAGTTTGAACTACTAGTGATCATTCTTCAGAGTTCTTTCTGATTTTGTTTTGTCAAAATTGTTCGTTCCTATTTACGTGTACAAGGCCATATGTGCACAGGAAAATGAGACAATTATATACACGACCACCAGATAAATTACCATTTGGAAGAAGAAATATTACGAGCACCAACAAAGTGGATGGTGGGGGACCTGTTTGGTATTTGGCCTGTAAGAGGCAGCTGGTGACAAGCTGGTGGCAAGGAGAGTAACAGATTGGTTTTGTTGGGACAACAGGCTAGGCAGTTTTAGTGCTACCATGTTTACCCACAGAAAGGAAATGATTGATATCAGATGCTAGAAACGTCTTATTCTGACTTTTATTCACATTCATTTTCTCTTTAAAGAAAAGGGAATAAAATTGTGGCTGTAGTAACAGTTAAATTAAAAAGTATTTGGAACAGAAAAGGTGCTGCCCGGTATTTCTATCACTCTTCTTTTGTTGCAGTTCTTCCTAAATCTGTGATTTCAGGTCTGTTTTTTTTCTTCAGATAATAAGGAGTCTATACAGTAATTTTCACAACCCAGAAGGAAGCATACTTCTTAAAAGAAAGATAGCAGCTAAATCTGTGAGTGAGGGTTAAATTATCCGGTTGAGTAAAGGATGGGAAATACTTAGCAGGCTGTGTAGATTAACCATTTTTGGACAAAGTCAAAGATTAAAAAGACTTAAAGGAGTCCTAAATAAATAACACAGAAACAAGAATTATAAATTTAACAAAAATAGCAATGTGATAGAGTAGGAGTTTGATGTGTGTTAGTGGTTCCAATAAACAGTTTAAATAACTAAGACGACAGTAAATAAGGACAAGAAGCAGGAAATGGCAAACAAGTTGAGTGCACAGTCATTTCAGAGAGGCTGAATTAGTGTAATTCAAAGTAAACATTCAGGATAATGCTGCTTCTATATTTCTCTTGGAGTAGAAAAACTGAGGTTAAGAATCAACAAAAGGCTGTGCCAAGGCTACAGCTTGACTCCAACATCAACTCTATATGTCAGCCCTAAAAGAAGCCTTCAGCTGGATAAGAGCCTCTTTGGGGCAAGATTTCTTTCATGGGCATCATGTTGGACACAGAACTCCATTTTATGGAGAACTGTTGGAGAGCTGTTTAAACAATTGAAAGTTAAATAAAACACAGCAGGGTTTTTCAGGATTATATTTTTCTAATACAATGTTTCTCTGTCTTCTTTTCATGGTAACACTAAAAATTCAGAAATTATAGGGACTGTGTTAGACTTCCTGATGCTAATAGAGTGTAAGCATGGGGGTACCCTCCATTTGCTATGAACAAAAATTTTTGTAAGATAACCAAAAATATAGTTTAAAGCAGTTTTTTGTGGTGACATAAGCATGTAAAACAGCTGGATTTGAGCTTACGGTATCCATCCGACTTTAGTGTTCATAGGGCCACCTATTCAAGGGTCATAGCTTGAATAACAGAAAACAAGCGCACTGTATTTAGGAGTCAGGAACCTTTTCTGTCTCTTCTGTGACTGCCCAAAAGGCTGTGCTGACCTACAAGGCTGCTGAAACAGAGACAGTAAAAGGGCTGAAATGGTCTGTGCTTGGATATAGGAAGGCAGTTGAAGTGGCTAGAAAGTTACTCACTGGAAAAGGACCTGGGGATGTTGGTGTTGATGTTGGTCAGCAGTGTGCCCATGTGGCCAAGAAGACCTACGACATCCTGGCTTTTATCAAAAATAGTATGGCCAGCAGGACTAGGAAGTGATTGTCCCTTTATACTTGGCACTGATGAGGCTGCAGCTTGAGTCCTGTCCTCAGTTCTGGGCCTCTCTCTACAAGAAAGACATAGATGTACTGGAGCATGTCCAGAGAAGGGCCATGGAGCTGGTGAAGGGCCCTTTGAGCCCAAGTCTTTTGAGGAACAGCCGAGGGAGCTGGGATTGTTTAGTCTGGAAAAGAGGAGGCTCAGCTGAGACCTTGCTGCTCTCTACAACTACCTGAAAGGAGGTTGTAGCCAGGTGGGGGTCAGGTCCTTCTCACAGGCAAATAGCAGCAGGACGAGAGGACAGGGCCTCCAGCTGTGCCAGGGGAGGTTCAGGTTGGACACAATTTTTTCACAAAAGTGGTGGTTAAAGATTGGAATGGGCTGTCCAGGGAGGTGCTGGTGTCACCATCCCTGAAAGTGTTCAGGAAACAACTGTATGTGGCACTTAGTGCTATGGCTTACTTGGCACAGTAGTGTTCAAAGGTTGGACTCGGTGATCTTAGAGGTCTTTTCCAACCTTGATGATTCTGTTGATTCTATTCTATAATTCTATTCTATGATTCTAAGGACACAAACTCTGCTCCCCTGAGCTGTCTCTCTACTAACACGCTTGTGGTGCAGCATACCAGGATACAAGCTCGTGGCATTGTCATGGCAGGACAGAGCGTTCCCAAGTATGCCTGTCTAATAAATCCTGTTGAATCAGTAGAGATAAAATTTAGACTAGTAAGAGACTGGGTTGCTCTGTGGTACTGGGAGGCATCCAGGCTCAGAGATGTGTCTGTAGGTTTTCTAATGTATCCAAGCCAGCTTTCTGTCGACAGGTTGTGGTACCAAATAACAGAGTACTTTCAGCTGCATGAATCTCATTGTGCAACACAGGCTTCTCACTGGACTGTTAAGACACACTTGGTTTAACTTAAAGCAAGACTGAGCATGTCTCCAGGAGATGCAATTACAGCTCTGAAGAATAAACAGAAATGATTGCATAATGATGCAAAAATTCTAGAGAACAAGTGCTCTGACACTTTAAAAACCGATGAATGATCGCCCATACATGACGGTAGGAATATAAGCTAGGTGGCTGGGGAGGCTTCAGCATGGATAGTTATTTTTTCCTGAAGCAGAAAAGGGCAAATGCAGTTTGAGAAAGAGATATTGGTAGCTACCATGGTCGTCAGATGTCCCATTTAGGGATATTGTGATACAATTAGAAGCAATATTTCTTTAGAACATAAGACATTTTTTTATACCTGAGAATTTCCAGACAAGATCTGTCTTTTTACATTTTAAAAAGTTTCTGCTTACAGACTATTCAAACAAAATTCTCTCAAAGAGAGAATCTGAATTACTGTTAGAGAACTATGAAGTTACTTGAGCTAAAAGTATATCTTTTAAAATGTATCTAGAAGGAATACACAGTCATTTTATTCAAAATTTGTGTCTTAGCTAGCTTTGAAGACTGGCTCATTAGTGATGTCATTGCAGTGGGTGATTCTTTGATACTCTTTACAGTTCAGAGTGATGAAACCGCAGAGAGTGATTTCCAAAGGTAGGGTTTCATCTTCAGGATATGGTCAGACTAGGCTGCTCCTTGTTTTGCAGTCAGAGTTCTCTCTTTTAACCCATAGTATTTAAAATAATCTACTAAAGCCAGTCTGTCTTTCCCAC